GTCGACAGACGATCGATTCTAAGTTAGAACGAAAAACAGAACCGTACCCATGCAAAATTACCAACGGCATTAAATCCAAACTACAAATCTGAATTGCCGCATGCAATGAATGCTAAGTGAGACAATACAGAAGGCGATACGAAATGCTGACATGTTAAATATCCGCGCAGGCAATCATTAAAAGTAACGGTAATGAACCTACCGGAAACCGACGAGGTGATCAATCAATTTCGCGAAGAAGTTAGATCGAAGACAAACCCGAGGAAACTTCTGTTAACATCTATCGGCTTTATGATCGCGACTGACAATGAGGCCATAACTCTGATTTAGTAAGTTAATCCCTTTAGCGGAAACACGAACAGGGTCGGGCCCCTTCCCGCCTCCACCCCTTTTAATTAAGAGCGCAATCATTCTGTCGTAATCCAATACCGAACTCGCCCTGTCCATCGCAATTTCTCCCCGACTCGCCAGTCCTAAAGTTAAATTTCCCGTGAAATAAAAACACCGCCGCATAGTGTCGTACGCTTCTGCCGCCCTCCCCTCCCCGTCCGCCTGTCCCCCCGCCCCATCGACCTGCCTTTCATTGGAAATCGCTTTTTAATCGCGTTCTCGCAAAGCGCCAAACTTTTCGCGCGCTTTTAAGTAGTAGAGCCGTTCGATTTATCCGCCGCTTCAAAAAATACTTTTATTTAGTTTGCAATCTGAGCGTTATTTAGTGTAACGTGACTTCAAACGACTGTATATCCGTTCTTGTCGCAGACAGGGAGAACTGTTGTTAGGGAGAAGTTGTTGGGTACTTTATACGCTGTGAAAATGCATCCGGCTGAAATACCAAAGAACTCGTAGCTCCAGAGATTTGTAAACCTTCGTCGAATTCGCTTAATGTAAAATGAGAGGAGATCAACTTTAAACTCCTGTATCGTTATAAAAGAAAATTACTTTTAAAAAGATTATTGAACATTTATGTAAAGGAGTTGCTCAAGCTTTTTAAGAAATGGAGAGATTTCAAGTTTAATATCCGTATTTAGAAATAGTACAGCTTAACGCGATAAACATTGAGATACAATTTTTAGAACAAAATACTGGGGGAGTTTTGATTTAAAATTAAAAGTCAGCTTTCTTATATTTGTGAAAAATATTTGCGTATTATAAAAGATAAAGCATCCTTTCTCTATTTATAAATGTCTGAAAGGTATCTGAAACGCGATAAAAATGAAGAGAAATTTGTCTAAAATAAGAAAAATTGAAAATAAATTTTCTCCTATTATCGTAACTAACGTGGTCTTTAAAAATGTATTTTATAACAACAATAATAAAAAGCATTCTCAATTGTACATTTAAACAAGTGAATCGACGAAAACGTAAATGTATGTTTATGCGACTGTCTCTCGTGAATACTTAAGAATTACAAAGAGCCATTTTGTACCTTAAAAGGAGCATTATGTTAGAGTTTCGAAAAATGGGCGGACTCCAGGATTCTCCAAGAAGCTTTTCTCTGCGGTGGAGATCGAGCGATGCATTATACCTCTCGAAACGGGTAAAAATGCGAGGGATCAGGCGTCCGAATTGCGCGTCAGCTGATTGAAAGGCAGCCGGTGACGGTGCCGAAAGGCGCCGCGCCACGCGACACCTCCGCCGAAATATGAGGACATAAATTCCCGCTACGAGGCTGACCTCCGAATGGCTACCATTAAGCACCCCGAGATTCCCATTTCGACTTCAAAGTATCGAGATCATGATCGAACGATCCTTAATGGCCCCCATACAAAAGAGGTGCCACGATCGGTGATCCGAACGCATCCATTTTTCGTGCTTCGACGCGTACCCAATAACTCTTAAACTAAGATTTTAACTCTCGGAGACCGGAAAAACGTAAGCCGAAGACCGAGAAATCGAGGACACACGCGTTTGAAAGATTGAGGATTAGAAAGTCAATTCTGAATTCGGGAAAAAGATAGGAATTGCGAAGCTTGAAAAACTAGCGTGCGCTTGCAATTCCGGAGACCGTTAGATAATATCTGATGTTTTGCTACCCAAGGATCTAGGCACTTCTCCAAACGTGGCAAGTCGTGCAAATGCGTCGGGGAAAGTTCAACATTTGCAGATCTCTAGATTACGAGTTTAAGAAACTTATGTCGCTGTAAAATTCGACAATTGCTAGACTTTCCGTTTAACGATCCGCGAATAATAAGCCATGTACTCGCCGGCCTGAAAACGACTTCCAAATAGAGAAGACTAGCAACATGAACGTTAAATCCATTTTATATGGTCTTTAATTCTTACGCGCGCACATACAACGCAGTGAGATACCTACGTGTAATTTCGTGTGTCGCGTAATGTTGAAAACTTTACAGTGAAATTCATAATTAACCCCATGTATAAGAGACTTTATACACAGTGACAATTCGGCTTGTGAAATAAGTATGACTTTATCCCAAATATTGTTTTGCAACTCAAATATCCCATATTTCTCCGATAATTGCAAACTCAATCAATACTCCCTGAAACGGGACGATCAAAGTTTCATGGAAAAGAGTTGGAGTTCCGTCCATTATTGCCGTTTGGGCAACGATTCGCGAAAGGCGACGCAATTAAACTAAGTATCGGCCGGTGATGATCGCTGCAGGGCGCGGGCACGCACCTCGGCGACGTGACCGGCGTCCGGCCCGATCCGAAAAGAATCGCGAGTCCATCCACGTAACATAAAATATAGTAAATCGGGCAGAGAGTAATGCCCGGCTCGTAAATAACATGACATATGTTCGTTGGAGGCACGGCTGGCATGTACGCGTAAATCTCCTGGTCCTGCCGATCGATAAAACGCCGTTCGCTCGCTCGCGCGTTCGTCGGAGCGCGGCAGCCTCTGGTCGCCGCGCTCGCGATCGCTCTCGATCATTCGCTCCTAATAAATCGGCCGAGTGTTAACTAGCGAGCAAATTTTTTCTCTTCTCGCCACGGAGATTAGCGCTGTGCTAATTTATTCAGTGTACTTTTACATAAGTAACGTGGCAGATTAAACGATGGCCGCGTAATTTTTGGAATGTCGACGTGTTTTTTCTTCTTTTTTTTGGAATTTCTGATTCCGCGTTGCAATATGTAAGCATCAAAGATACAATTTATTGTTTCATTTTATTGATGAAACACAAATTGTACCGTTATTCTTTTATGAAGGCTAACATATAATTAAATCGCACGATACAAAACTGTAAATGTATCACACTTGAAAACATGGTATAATCTGGAAATGTGATTCTTTAAAAAATTTCAGATATTTTCGGAAATTGAATTCCGGGGAATTACAGTGAAATAACCGATGAAAGGTCCAATTTTTCCCTCGTATAACCTTCATCATTCCGCTTTAGGGAATTTCGGCCGATTTTGCAATTATCGAAGAAAAGGGGGGACAATTGCATTTGGCTGCGACAAATCGCTACACACCGAGTGAACAGGAAAGGGCAAGAGAAGAGGGAATAGTTCCGGAAGCGCGCGCAATATCAAGCCTCACGTACGACAATTTAGAATGGTTGTGCCAGAATCATTTATTCGCCAAGAGATTGATGAGCATCGAAATGTTGTCAAAAAGCTGAAAGTAGTTGATACGGAACGTTCCGGAATTCGATCAAAAGGAGATACGTAACGCTGTACCTTGTGAAATTTGAAATAAATTTTCCCTTGGGAGAAGCGTCAAGAAAAACAATCATTTTTCACAACTTCTCGAGTTTCTAGCAATCAATGTCCTAGCAACTTGGCTTAAAATTTAAGTTCTATGAAATACAAGTCACCACAAATCTAACAACAGACAATGTTTCATTATTTCAACCCGTCAAATACGTTAATTTGCGAAAGAAAGGATCTTTTTACGCTCAGAATTTACTCCTATAAACGTCTCTTGATATTTTTGCTTAAGAAAAATCAGCTTCGGCTTTTCAGAAAAATAATACATACTGACTTTTCACCAATTTGTACGTTATGTACATATTTATACATTTCACATTTACGCGCTCTTTTAATATTCCCATCGGCATTGCCACATCCGTATATTTGATGAACTTTATAATTTGTGATAAACAAATTCTGAAAACTCAATGACGATTAAACAAATTTACGTTTAATAAATTGCCGAGTAATTCAATAATCGTGTTGCAATCTCATCGCAAAAGTATTTATAATTGCAACGTCAATAATTCACGATTGTGTTGTTCAATTATCAATTTTAATCCGTTATCATCTTTTCTCGAGACTAATTAATTGTATGACATGGTGATCGATTCTGTACATTCAGCGAAATCACAATTTCTGAAATGATTTGCGAGGCACGGTATTTCTATAGAAGTTTTCCACAAGAAAACGTTTCTGAGATCCTATCATCGTTAAAAGCATGTAATTAAAATTGACGAGCAGCAATCACGAGTTAACAAGGTACCGACGCAAAACTACGCCCCATTCTTTCCTCGTCCGCCCACCTTTGCATTTTATACTAAGCAACGCTTGCTTCTCGATTGACGTTTCATTACGCAAAGGAAAAATCGCCAAGGAAAGGGAGAGAAAGATATTTTCATGTCACCGATTGAATCGTATCGTCGACTTTCTACCAAAGTAATGTTAAATCGGACTAAAAGTTTAAATGTTATTTAAACGGGTGCGTCAATTTATCGTAAAAAAATTCTATTGGCAACGATTATCAATTTTACACTTCAATTCGCGTACGATATTTTATTACAAGTCGAAGGGTTATGAACGCTCAAAGGATTATAATTGGTTGCGCATTGACGAGTTTAAATTTACACCAAACTTAGCATGTACAATCGTGCGAATTAGAGCGTGTTCTATTTCGTGCAATCAATTGCCGGTATATTACCGCGATACGTTGCACGTGCAATTTCTGTATTAGATTATGCGATCGTGCCGTGATTAATTGCGAGTTGCAGTTGTACGCGCAATTATTGCCCGGTGGAAAACAGACAGAAGTATACACTGCGATTTGTGTTGAATCGACTTACTTGCGAATCGCCGACTTCGGACATGCACGATCCACGCCCTCAGTCCCGAAATCGATTCTTAGCACGGTGCTGTAAACGAGAAATTAAGATCGACGTAACGAAACGTGGATATAATGAATATGATACGATTTAGATACTTTTGCGTTCCGATTAAAACGATTAATTTGTATGGAAACATCATAATTTCTACATCTCTTTCTATTGTATGTGAAATATTAAATTATTCCACGTCTCACTCTCATACGAGTGTCATTTGCACGTCAATCCGACAACTTTTCAAGTGGCCCTCGTAGTATTAAATCTCTCTCAACTATAATTAAGAGAAAACAAATGGCGATATAAATGATCAAAGTATATTTTTAGAATTATCGCTTTCGAAGCGAAACTTCTTTTCACCGTTAAGAATTTTTCGACGCATTCTTTTGCGTATGTTCTGTTATCTCGAAGAAAGGGTGAAATTGAAATTAGCATTACTCGCCTTTAAAAAAAAGCCACCTACCCTTCTCTCACTTATGTGTTACGTCATTTAATCTTCGCCAAATTCTTTGTGCTAACAGCCGTAAAACGTTTTGCCTCCAAGTGCTCACTTCGACATAAATCCTCTCCGTTAATTGCACCGTACGATCGTGCGAGTAATTTAAGCTCGCCCGCACGCCCCGGTCGGCGGCCTGACGAAATAATATTCCAGCTAAATGGCGGCTCGTGAATCCCGTCCGAATGCGCGATAAAACCAATGCCGGCAACGTGTTTACAGTTTTACGAGGTGTCAGCGAAATGCACAACGCAAGCGAGCTACATTCGCGTAACATCATGGACTTATATGATACCCTAAACCTTTTCCGCTGTATTGACGAGATCGTTAATTACTCATCTTTCTCGTTGTTTGAAAGATTTCATAATTTTACCATCTATATTTATAATTTTCAAAAGAGTTACTCTGGGACGTTCTAAGTGTTGTGAAAAAATATTTCACAAATTTCTTATTTTCAATAAAAAATATAAAAACGTACGTGTATGCATATAATGACAGATGTAATATTTAAAAAATAACACAAGGATATTACATAACTTTAAGAAATTAAATAAAATTCTCATATAATTAATTATGATAGAGATAAAATTTCCGACTTTTTAACAAGCTTTATCTGGGAAAAGAACTGCAATTAATCAATGACGTAGTCGCTTAAAATCTAATCAATCTATGGCGAAAGAGTTCGCTTGTTTAAAAAAAAAGTATAAATTTCAGGTACAATGTAAATTTTTAAAAGAACATTTTTTGCTCCAGTTTTCAATTTTTTCTCTTCAAGCATACCTTAGCACCATAAAATATAAAGCGCGCGTTCACAAAACGTAGAATGTTATCGAAATATAATTATTGTCACAATTGAATAATAAACCTTCTAATTAGCTCAGTTAAACGGGCGATTAGCAGCAGCTGTTACGTGACATTGGCACGCCTTGGCCAGTATTTGATGTCATGGGTTACGATTTCATCCCTGCCTCCTCGTCAGTCCTCCCTGACATTGCGTATCTCCCCGGAGGCTCCTTGAGCGTCTGATTAACTTGGTATGAAATTATGTTCCATCTTTATACCCTCCTTAATACACCTAGACTTATGTAGTATCTAAGAACTCTATATGATTCAGAGGACTCGAGTTATTCATGCGTCTAAACTCTCAGAGATTTAATAATGCAATTTATGGCACAGTGCACTAATTCGAAAAGCAAAGCTATGCGCTAAAAGTATAACAACATGTACCGCAAAAATTTTGCTGGCCGAGAATTGAAAACTTTAAGGATTCTGATAATGTAACAATCTAATTCCGCGGAAGATAGAATTCAATTTTAGGAGCAAGCCAAATACATAACAAATATGACGATAATATTTGTACGATGCATTTAAAAATATCGTCACACTCTATCCATGTTTAATAAATTTCCAACTTGCCTTATGAAAAGACGAGGTCAAATTAAAATTTCTTAACGTTTACGTCTTTAACGGTTACATCCAAATCTCTCGGAATCCAAAAGTTCAGGGAGTCAGTGCGCTCCAAGACTTAAACGGCTCGCGAGGACAAAAACCAGATAAACGTGAACATTCTACAAGCTAAAAATCCCAAACTTTAGTGCTCGAAAATAGAAGCACTCGAAGGTACACCGATTGGATCATTTATTATGTCAAACCCTTCGTCATTTTCTAAAGCCACCCTTGACTCGACGTCAAATTCCTCAAGCCCTTCATCTCTCCCTCAACAGTTCGCACCTCAACTCATCCTCTCAACCATGTCGGCTGCAAGACGCTACAGCTGCAGCTGCAGTTCTCGCGTGCATCCGCAAAGGGAGGTGGGGGAGGAGAGGATTACAGGGAGGATGGGTATGGCGTGGGATGATTGTGGGGGCAAACGTAGGTGGGGGTGGATCGTACATACGCGGCCGGTGCATGCGGTAATGGCGGTGCATACGGTGTACCAGTCAAACGCATACCGTATTGATTTTAATATCTGTGTAGGAAGCAGAGAGAGGAAGAGGAGATGAAGAGAATGGAAGAAGGGGCAGAGAGAGGGAGAGAGAGAGAGAGACGAGAAGAGAGAATAGGAAGAAAGGAATGCAGTGAAAGAGGAAGCTTTTACACGTCATTTAGGCACCTGTGGCTGCGACTTTTCATGCGTCAGCATTTTGCTCGCGTATTAAGACGCATTGGCAAGTTTATTCAACTCGATTTACCTTATACAGAATCGCGTGCACGCCGTACAGCATATTCTAATATCCTCCTCTTTGCTTTCGCTAAAATGTAATGTCATTCACAGCGCGTAAACCATTTCCAAGCCGAGCTTCATAAATGAATTTTTTTTTAATCGTGTAAAGAATCTTCCTTTAACATCGTTGTTTTACGTACAAAGTAAATAAAATAACTGTCACCGAATATCGGCTAGGATTTAATCTGCTCAGTCGATTAAAAATTCGTCCACTCATGAAACTAATTTCAAATGTGAGAATGGACGACAGGGAGGTGATAGGTTTGTAAATGACGAACGCACTAATGGTAAGTGACAGTGGCTAATTAATTAGTATCGAATGTTCGATGCAGCAAGAGCGATTAAATGCAACACCTGAAAATCCTAATCACCTACAAATTAATCCGGGCAAACGTAGCGGACAAATTAATCCTGACAAACAGCGGGTTTGCTACTTTTAATGGAAAAGAAACGGTAAATGCCGAACGTACCCAGCAAACCAACATATAACTGTTATATAACTGAAAGAGCGTATGGAAAGAACAACG